CGCTCCCCCTGCTTGTGCGCTCTCTCTCTGACAAATAAATAAATAGTCTTTCTTAAAATAAATTAAAAAATAAATAAAATGCTGCATAACGCTATAACCTATTCCAGAGATTAATAAACACAATATGGTGTTCACTTCTAAATGCATAAGACTTTTCTCTATACACTGAATCTCTGATTCAGCACTTTGATAAGCTCTTTGCAATTTTACCATCTAGTGGCCAATTTATTTTGCTTTAATAAGACACATTACCAAAATACTGTACATCCCATAGTCATTGATAGTCTCTCTTTTTCACTGTGTTAAATAGTGATACATACTTTCAATTTATCTATGGTAAATGTTAGAATATGACAGCTGTATTTGTTTTTCACGATGTAAAGTGAATGATAATATCTCACAAGCTGATTTATTTCCTTCTTCCCTATCCACAATGATCTCACTGTGCTACTTCAGCTTAAAAATATGAATATCGAGGCACCAGCTGCTTTAACATTAGAGAACAGTTCTTTCCCATGAACCAACAATTTTACTTAAAAGAGGAAAGAAACAGAAAATAAAGGAGCATTTTTCAGGGCCACCTAAACCAAACACCAAATCAAAAAAAAAAAACCTAAGTTTTGACAACACTGCAAGATTTCTTTTGTTAAGGTACAAGATATAAAAATTCCCAGGAAAATAACAAAACCAGGCAAACCATGAATTTTCATAATTAGAGTTGTCATTATTATTACATTGTTGACACAAAAATGCTTCATCCACATTACCAATTAAACCTGCCATAAAACTCATGGAAAGCAAATGCTATAAATTGAAACTAAAATGTTGTGGATGATGTGTAAACAAACTATTTTTTTTCATTTTGTTTTGTTTTATGGGTTTTTCATTTTAAAGGAATCTAACAGTTTTTATCTCCTTTTAGAAAAGCACGCATGCAGAGACTGCAGCAGTGACTTATACTGTGACATAATATGTTTTTGACACAAAAAGTACTTGTCACAAATGCAGGATACAAAAACAACTCTCCTAAGTGTTTTAAAGGGAGCCAGGAAAATCTAGCTTTTATCAGTCAATAATACATCTGACATAAATAATGATTGAAAACTGACAGCTACAAGATGTGACTGAGGTGCTTCAAATCCCTGAAAATGAAAAGGTAAGAAATACCAATTTTGCATTTCACCGTAATTTTGCTGTAATGCAATTGAACTACTCATTGCAGCGAGTATTGTAATAATTGTATTAGTAATTGGTGAGTCGTATCATGAGTAACATCTTTAATTGAATACTTGTTCTCATAGGATACCTATAGCTGTGCCTCAAAATTGAGTTCGATTTGGCACCATAGAAAAATAGATTTAATCTTTCATCTTCCACCTGTCTCTTATGAGTAATTTTATTTGTAAAAATACACAGAAAGAAAAGAAAAATCAGGAGGTTAAGCAATGATGTAGAGTTTTAACTGGTCATGGTCCTCAAAAAACAGTGAAGATTAATTGGGAAGATGTCTCTGAAACTTCTGAAACCCTACAAAACTGCAGTACACTTTCATAAAACCAAAGAGAAATGTCAGTTCTAAATGGCTTCAGGAAAATCATGCCATCACAAAATATATTCCTCAAAAGACTCATACGCTGCTTAGGGACTTCAAAACTTCCCATTTGTACACATTGACTGCTTGATTCTGGCATAAACTCTGGGCTTTCACACCCCAGGCTCATTTTTACAGGACAAGATAGAGGTAAGAATCAGTAGAGATGGCCGCTCTGCCCGCTCAGCTCCCCAAAATGCCAAGACTGTCTCAGTTCCATTATCATAAGGCTATCATTTTATACTAAGATTTTATCTTCATTTTAGAAAGAGACTAAATATATCCAACTCTTCCTGGTTCAGGCTATATTGTGGTACCATGAAGCACAAGCTCAAATACCCATGCTTTTTTGTACACTCACGTGAACACCTTTGCTTACAAAGGACGTCGCCCTCCATGACAAAGACTGGCTAGATGCTCTCACCAAGTCCATTTATCCTTCTTTCTGAGTTCACAATTCTATTTTATCTCCAGCCTTTCTTGGAGTTAGGAGCTGCCGTGTGACTAAATTCTAGCCAAAAGGATGTGAAGAAGTAATGAATGCAACTTCCAGATTTGGTCCCTAACAAGCTGTCGTGCCCAACCCACCATTCTTCTTCTGTGTCTGCTGGCTGAACAAAGAGGTCTCCAAGATCATAGAGGAACACAGAGGCAGCATGCTAGGTTAGAAGCTAGTTGATCCCATAAATGAACAAGTGAAACACAGCCCAAATGCCATGTGCATGAGAAATAAATATTACTATGTTAAACAATTGACATTTGGGGACTTATCTCATTTAGTAGCTAAAGTAATCTCAACTAATACACACCCCTACTCCTAAACCTGGTTGGGTGGTAACCAGGGTAGGGAGAGATCATTTAGATTGCTATTCAGAAAACATTCACTCCCCACTTCCTCCTGCTGTGGGAAGGGTATACTTGTTGCCATACTGATGTTGCATTCCGGCCAATGGCATGTTAGCAGATGTGATGTGAGTAGAGGCCTTAAATATGCTTGTGTAGTTTGGGACTTGGCTGCAGCACCCTACTGGACCATCTGAGAAGAACATGCCCTGGATAGCTGCAGCCCTTCAGCCCAAGGCCCACAGCCTGAACCCAACCCACAGCCTGGGGCAAAGGCCATTTGACCCACAGTTGGAAGTGGAGTCATCCAGCTGAGCCCTTGGTAGATCAGACAAACCACAGGTGGTTAACCTAAAGATCTGTGGGCAAGAAAAGCATATGCTCGTAAGCCGCTGAGTAGGCAATAGTTGATGATATAGACTGGCAGCCTTAGTGTAGTGTGGTTAAGGGTGTGGACTATTAGGCCAAATTCTTTATGTCAAGGGGCGCCTGGGTGACTCAGTCCGTTAAGCATCTGACTCTTGATTTTGGCTCAGGTCATGATCTCAGGGTCATGAGATTGAGACACACATTGGGTTCCACGATGGGCATGGAGTCTGCTTAAAATTCTACATCCCTCTGGGGCGCTTAGGTGGCTCAGTCAGTTAAGCTGCTGCCTTCAGCCCAGGTCACAATCCCAGGGTCCTGGGACAAAGCCCCACATCGGACTCCTTGCTCAGCGGGAGCCTGCTTCTCCCTCTCCCTCTGTTGCTCCCCCTGCTTGTGTGCTCTCTCTCTCTCCCTCTCCGTCAAATAAATAAATAAAATCTTAAAAAAAAAAAAAAAGATTCTATCTCCCTCTCCCTCTGCCCCACCCCCCACTCGTGTTCTCACTCTCTCTCTCTCTCTCAAAAAAGAAAAATGTTTTCAAATTCTTTATGTCAAACCTATATAATTTATTAGCTATATTTCCTTGTGAAAGTTATTTAAACTATGCCTTGGTTTTCTCATTCATGAAATGGGATAATAGTACCCATCTCATAATAGTACTTAGTAATAGTAATAATACTACCTATTTCTCATTCAGTTAATGTTTATAAAGTGCTACAGTGCCTGGCACATAGTAGCCATTGCCATAGTGTACATGAGACAAACAAAATAAACCTCATTAACCCATAAATGTATCAGCAAAATAACCCTATCAAGAACATGACGATTTCTATATTGGTTGCTGCTACCAGAGGATGCTTGAATTCTCCAGAGAGATTCTTCTCTGTAATCAGGAGTCTGTGTTACATAATGTTAAGAGTTCTGTCTGTTGAGACTTCCTTCTGATGAGTCAAACAGCCTGGATTTAAATTCTTGTTCAACAATTTAAGACCTTGTTCCCAATCCAATTCCCTCATCAGTAACTGGAGACTGTCACAGTATTTAGCTCTGCAGAGTTACCACTATTATAGTAGGGGCTCTATAGAAAACATTGGAACGCAATAAACAATGCATTATAATTGCTTAACAAATGCTAGCTACTTTTAATTTAGGCAAACAATTTTAGGAACTACAAGGTCACTTTTAGCTTGTTAAGAAATGGATTGTAACTTCAAAGTATTTTTTACCACAATTCACCAAAAGGTAACCTCTAATCTACTTGAGGCCAAGTTGATTTTTGTTAAAGAACACCTAAAACCAACAAAAATAAAAGTAGCATTTCTCTCCTGTACTAACACAAATCTCTTCAGCGTTTATCTTCATTTTGTTTGGATATATCAGTCTAATACAAATCATGAAAATCATAAAAATGATTCCTATTATTATGTCTGTGTTCTCTTCTCTTTATTTTTATGTAAATAATGCTGTCTCTACCTTCTATTTACTAACAATATTTCTGGTATTAATCAAAAAGTGCCCTCGGATCATTCAATTCAACAGCAATTTAATTTAAAAGGTAAGAGATGTGGATTATGTGCAACGCTAAGCCACAATGTGTGTTACCTTTTACATGAAAATAACCTTAATTTCCCTGCTTGACTGATGAGAAAAGAAATAAAAAGAATGATTGCTATAAATCAGGAAAAATTCATAACTTGCTGGAGGTCTAGCAGCTGTTGATTTAAGGTTTGCATCTTTGATAACACGATGTTGCTGAAAAGATATCTTCTTGACAAAGTGGTGAACATAAAAATTACATGGCTTTATTCAACATTTAAATATTTTCTCTGTATCACTTACAGAAAAAAAATTTTCTTTTATTCACTTATACCAAAATGTGTTTGAAGCATACTGCATCTCATCAGCAAGCTTTACAATAAAATTCAGTGTTTTCTGCTTCCGTAGGTATACAGTAGACTTGTCATACCACAAATAAAAATAACTTAAATTATCCTCACTTTAGAGAAATGGTCTACTATTATTATATACAAGTAGTTCCTGCCATTGGTAATACAAACACAGAATTGTGCATACGCTCGGGATATTATTCATTTCTTTTATTAGCAGCTAGAAGTAGGTGATTGAAAAATTAGGTGACAAAACAAAACAAGTATTGCATTGACTGGGAAAAAATATCTGCAAAGTGGAATCTTGAAAATGCATGAAAGCTTTTTTCCCTCCTCCTTTCTTGGCGCTTGCTGTGCCGCCCTCGCGCTCCCCTGCGCCCCCCGTAGCCATGCCTCGCAAAATCGAGGAAATCAAGGACTTTCTGCTCACGGCCAGGCGAAAGGACGCCAAATCCGTCAAGATCAAGAAAAATAAGGATAATGTGAAGTTTAAAGTGCGGTGCAGCAGATACCTTTACACCTTGGTCATCACGGACAAAGAGAAGGCAGAGAAACTGAAGCAGTCCCTGCCCCCAGGTTTGGCAGTGAAGGAGCTGAAGTGAACCTGGCCCACTGATTTGAACTGTATTAAAGTTTTAAAAATTCTTAAAAAAAAAAAAAAGAAAATGCATGAAAGAGAATAACTTGGCCAAGCACTTAGAAACAATAGCAGTGTTTTTATTCATCTAGAGGCTGCTGTGTTATGGTACATGTCCTTGCACTGTTGACTCACAGATGATGCAATTTTATGCTGAGGTTTTGTGTTTCTTATATATCAGTGAAATGCACGGAGATCATCAAGGAAGAACCAAGAATGACACTAAGATTGACCTTGTCTCCTCACTCTTTGACAAAACTCAGTGTGCTTTCGTTCTTGTATGAATTGCACTTATCTTAGAAAGTCAGATTTGCTTCTTATTATTAAATACATTGTTCTTTTACCTAAGACTGTCTCCCAATGTCATTGTAATGCCATTGTAATGCCATAGGTATTCCATCACTCCAGCCATCAGAGTCACTTTATTTGTTGAATATTCAGATAGAATGATTTGATTGCCCCTGCCACATACCTCAGGAAAGCCAACCCTCTTTTGGCTCCCTGAGAACTGGAGCGGAGTTGCCTACAGTTCTTCTGGATTACCTGTCACTCTTCAGTTTTACTCTGAATTCTTACTCTTGCCTATTTCTTGATCCCTATCCACGGTTTCTCTTCCTAGTGGTACCATTTTCTCGCTGTACCCTTTAATCCCCAATTGGACATTATTCCCAGTTCATTGTCCAAAGCACCATTACCCAAGGTTGTGTGTCCAGCAGGGTATTACTGGAGGTTTCAGGAGAACAGAAAGCAGCTTTTGGTTGCATGTTGAACATCACTGCCCATTCATTAATTCATTCATTCAACTAATATTTATTAAGTACCTACTATGTACAGGCAGTGTTCAAGATAATGGAGATGCAGCAGTGAACAAAATATTTTCCTAAAATACTGCTTTTAGAGAGTTTAATAAACAATAAACAGTAAAATGAACAAAATAATAAACTGTAATAATAACAAACAATAAAATATATGTGAGTATAGAGTCGTGTGATCAGGAAGAATAAAGCAGGGAAGGTAGAGGGACTGTTGAGAAGGGTGCAACTTTATGTAAAGTGGTCGGGGAAAGATTTATTCTACCAGTGTTATTTAGGTAAAGATGCAAAGGAGATAAGGGAGGAAGCCATAGAGAGAAGTTTGGAAAGAGAGCTTAGGTAAAGGGAATAGCAAATGCAAAGGCCCTGAGACAGAAGCTTGCGTGGTATGTTAGAATAATAGCAAAGCGGATACTGGGGCTAAGTTCTGAAATTTTTTACTATCTAGACTCTTCTCATTTCAGAATCCTGTATTAACTATATTTCTTTATTTTCTATATTCTTGAAGCTCTGGTATCTGGGCCCTCACATCCGGGGAGAGATTGCCCCTCCAGGGCCAGCCAATTCTTAGAGATAGTGAATTACTGTCCAGGAGGAACATCTCTCATTAGCCAATTCAGAACCCAAACTCAGAACTGTCTCTGCTGTCTTGCTTTTACACACCAGGAGGCAATATTCCTCTGCCCTAATCATCCTAGGGCCAGGTACTAGACAACTAGAGACCAGCCCCAGAGCCCAGAGTCCACCAAATTATTCATGCTAATCCAAAACCTGTTCAGTTGCTTATCCTGCCTCACTCATTCCTTACTTGGAAACCCACAATAAAGACTTTTGTCCATGCTCTCCCCCTGCTTCTTATTGGTCCTGGTGCTTATTCATGTGGCCTTGCTCAGCATGGCATCCTGTCTCTTCTTGGGAACTGTAACAAACTATCCTTTTAATGGCAATCATCTCCTGATCTGTTGGCCTTACCATACATGAATAAAACGAAATCCCAGGTACATTTTAAGATAAGGGCCTACCAGGTAGCCAGTGACAGCTCACAAACTCTTTTTATTCCTCAGTAGAAGAACAGAGGTTCTTTCTTTCCAATAATGGCTCCTACTTAGGCCAGGTTGTGAGGTCTACCTTGACATAACTAACAAACACATTAATTAGCTTACCTACACAAAATAAAGGTCTTCTATGACACTAAAATTCAACTCCACTTCTGATTACATGATCATAAATCCCTGCCATCACTCCATAGCCTCATTCCAATTTCCATACCATTTAACTCTTTAATATAAGGGGTGCATCCCAAGTCAGATGTAATCTACCACCTTAATTTTGAGCAGTGTGTTCACTAAGGAAGTGACCAAATCTAAGCTAAACATATCCTTTTTTTTTTTTAAGATTTTATTTATTTATTTGAGAGAGAGAGTGAGTGAGAGGGAGAGAGAATCTGAAGAGACTCTGTACTGAGCACAGAGCCCAACATGGGGCTCAAACTCACAACCGCAAGATCATGACCTGAGCCAAAACCAAGAATCGGACACTCAGTGGACTGAGCCAACCAGGTGCCCCTAAGCTAAACATATCCTACACACAAGGTGTTGTGGCCCAAGAAAACTTACAGGTTTTTCAGAAGTAACGATCATCAGACCTTAACAAGTTGGTTTCCCTAGAGACTCTATGTTCGGCACTGTCTGGACTTTAAGAAAACCACCCATCTGGTTTGATAACACAAAAGTGTCTAAGGCAGGAATGGCATCATGGGCCACCCTTAGCTCTAGTTGGGAACATGGGTTGGTTTCCCAGACTGTTGTAAACAACAGAACTCTCTTCATACTTGATGTTCCTCCAAAAGGGAGGCTTTCTTTTTTGGGGGGGAGAGGCAGAGGGAGAGGGAGAGAGAATCTTAAGCAGGCTTCACACCAAGTGCAGAGCCCAACTTGGGGCTCAATCTCACGACCCTGAGATCATGACATGAGCCCAAACCAAGAGTTGGACGCTAAACTGATGGAGCCACCCAAGGACCCCAGGAAGGCTTTCCTTGGGCAAGTAAATTTTGTAAATACTGAATAATATATTCCACCTCTACGACCCTGGAAGTTGACTATTCACATTAGACTGTTGCAACTGTCTGATTTGAGTGGGGGGAAAAAAGTAAAAAATGTTAAAAAGCCATTAAAAACTTGATCTCACAGATTGTGGGCATCTTAATGACTTAGTGAAACATGAAATATTTTGTTTTATTTTACTTTGTGTTTTCACGTTTTTCTTCTTAATTTTCATGTTTGTTCTGGGTTGTCAAATAGACATATACATAATATTTTCACGGACTTTTATTTTTTTTTCTCAAAAGACAGTTAAAACTTTTAATCTTCTAAAATGCTGCCTTGTATGTGAATTAATTCTTCGGGAACAACAGAATTCTAACTTCTAAGTGTTGATAAATGTCCAAATTCCAAAAATGACAATATCATTTCTGTTACTCATTTTCTTTTCACAATTTATGTTAATTCTTAGTCCTAAAATAACCCCAGTGTGTTATTTTTCAATTACATTTCTATAGAGAGATGAAAACAGAATCATGATTCATAGTAACAGTATGTTTGCCTTAAAAAGAATTTTGTGCTACTGGAGAGGAAAGTCTACATATCTGTTTAACACATTACCATATTTTCTGGTTTATAAGCTTTGGCAGTTTATAAAGCACAGCCAACTTTTATAAGCATACGTTGGGGGTTGGGGGGAATTGGGGGGAATTTTATAGCAAGGAGAGTAGAAGGAAAATGCAACTCCCTGCCCTGACAAGGTCAGTGGATCTTTCTGCTAGGGTGTTCTGAGAGCTTTTGCAATCAGACACTCTAGGGAAAAGCTTAGGGCTCTGAGTGGGGAGCTCTGGAATTTGTTTGAATGTCAGTATACTACAGTGTCATAGGATTTCACCATCTAGTGGAATTTACTGAAAATTATAGCCAGTTACCCTGAATGACACACATTTGGGGTGTGTTGTTAAACAATATACTTCTATATACAGCTTTTATGTGACAGTGTGAATTTCCATATTCTGAATTGGATATGATGTGATTGATAAATTGCAAAACATATTTTGCAAACAGAGATTATCTGTTATAGCAGGATCATGTCTGGGTGCCAACGCATTCATATAAGGAAAAAAAATGAAGCAACTGTTACAACGGCTGCTTTCTTTATCATAATAGGGGTAATAAGGATGATATGAATATATGGAAGCACTGTGCTAATGGTAGGGTTAATGATAATGAGCATACAAAGACTATTATTAATGACTAAAACCTAGATGGGCTCTAAGGCAATATTTATTAAACCTTCTAGGGAAAATAGGATTTTATTTTTGCAGTTTTCAGACTCTTTAGGACCTGAGGCCCTTTTTCGCACCGACACAACAGTTTTTGCGAAACAACTTTTGATAACTAAGGTTTTCTAGGAACAAAACTATCAGGTGGTGGTAGACTAGAAGATCCTCTTGCTAGCATGGCTACACACAGAATCTCTGTCATTTCTTATATTGTAAAAATACCCATTTTTTCCAGATGCCACAAAATGAACATTGAGTTCTAGTATCTGAAAAGTCCATTCCATTCTATAACACATTTTAGCATCTCACCTCTCTGCTCTCTTCATGGTTCTCACTGTCTTTAGGGACCAATTGTTTCTCCAGTGCCCATTCTGGAGCTTTTCATTTCCCTCTTTCTCAACTCATAGATGGAGCTGCTAAATCTGATCTCTCTTTTTTTATTTATGAGTTTATTTTAGGCAATGTGTCATTGTAACTAGTTAAGCTAATTTTAATTACAATTTTAAGTAAGCTTTCAAAAGGCATAAAACAAATGATTTAGTGAAGTCCAGATATATTATATCTACTGAGTTCCCTTCATCCACTTTGTAATTTGATCAAAGGGATGAAATTGAATATGTCTGCTATAATGGGTTCTGTATAAGCCCATGCTGTTTGTCTCCCAGGCTTCCACTACTCTCTTCATACATATATAATTCTTTCTTAATATCCACTCTGTTATTCTACTAAGAATTTAAGATAGTAATAGCCAGAAGGCTTCCTTCTTTCTCTTTCTTTCTTTCTGAAGTATTTTTAACTTGCTTATTGTTCCTATTGTTTTTGAAATGCTTTGGTTGCCCCGATCCCAAGAAATATTTCCCAATGGAAACATAAACA